TAGACAATCTTTTGAGTGTTTTTTTTTTAATTTTATGTATGGCCAGTGTCCTGCCTGGGGCTGCCGACATTTTTTTTGTGAAACGATCTTCTGTTTTTATTTTATTTTAATTATATCTTTAGGCTATCGATATTCTTTCCCAATATAGTTTGGTATAATTTCAAGGATGTATCTAATTAAGTGAACCTTGTAAAAAATATACTAATTTTGTGCTTCTTATAATTATTAATCATACAACAAGGTATCCTAACCGATTCTCAGTGTTTTAGGATCTCTAACGATTTTTATAGGATCACTTTGCTGTCCGTCCGTTTGTCTGTCCGTCTTGCAAGAACTATTTTCTCACACATGAAAATACTCTATGTAGCTATGATATGGAGGTCTTCAAAAAGCGAGTATACCTTTTCCTTCAGATGCGACAACACATGACGCGCACCCACCTATGGTGCTACATGTACCACTTACCATCAGGTGGACGGACTGCCAGCTTGTGTGCTTGCCTACATTAACATAAAAAATACTCAGATCAACAATTACAGTAGTGAAAATATCAAAATCTGAAGTAAGTCAACGCTATCAAAAGATACGACAGCTTGTGAAATAGGGGAGAGGTAGGATGATACATGAGGGCTTGTAGCACTGCATTAGTCCTACCCCTCCCCTATTTCGAAGATCAAATGAAACCTGAGAGTCTTATCATACTAGAAACACTTACTTTCTTTTTTTTTAATAGAGCCGCCAGTTCTTTTCATTGCAGCATCTTCATTTCGTGTTCTCCTATCAATGACGCGTTTTATTATACATGTCATCTGGGAGTCTTATTATACTAGGTAGAGGTTTAGGGTCGTGGGCTCTGAGACTAAAAGGCAAGTTCAATAGATTAGTACTTATAACAGCTATGTGTATTACAACACAATATTTCTCCTTACTACCTCCTTACCTCCTAGTTACTCGTTTTCTTAATTTAACAATAATTATAACTAACCTTTTGTCATCATTATTAAAGTGTAATTGATAACACATCAATTAAAAATCATTATTAAAAAAAAACTGAACAAAATTAAAAACATACTTTAAAACAGTAAAAACTTAAATAGGAATCTGATTACATATGTTATATTAACAAACTCAGATGAATAACAAGTAGAAGGACAATGAGTTTCTTGTCCTTTAATTGTTCTTGGTACGCCACTTACTCTACTTTTATCACTTCTCCATATTCTTACATATTATTTATTCAACATAAATTTTTGTTATAACGTTACCTCCTGATCTTTACTATCATAACATGAGGAGCTGGCGAACAAAACGGTATAATTACATAAAAGTAAATTTTGCTGTATAAAACTGAATGAAAACCCTACAGTGAGCTTTTGGCATGGTTTTTAATTTATAAATTTAGTAATTTTAACACTGTTTTAGGCTGTTTTGATTAGAAGTTAAACAATGTTTTTTACTTTGACTGTAAAAAAATGTAGTTTGACTAGATGCGTAATTATACCGTTTTGTTCGCCAGCTCCTCATCTATCATATCATAAACAAATAATGTAAGTCCTACCATTTCATTCAGCAACTCCCGGCTTTCGAACTTTCATAAAGTTATTTAATTAGATTTTATTAAGCTGACAATGCTAATGACGTCGACATAAAATTTATCTTATCAAAATAAATGAGCGGCCGTTTTCACGCGAGTTCATTAATTTTGTGTTCCGCGTTTCTGTATAACAAGGAAAAGCTGCGATAACAATATTGGATATGCCTCAATTTTTTTCGTGCCTATACCTTTATGAATAATTTATGAAGCGATATTTTCATTTGCGAATGTCATCGTCGCCTGAGGATATTGGATTTGTGCTGCGTTTTTAGCTCTGTTTTCTTGCTTTTTACCCTTGGCTGTTCAACTAATAATATCTACAGTGGAAAATCAATTTAAACTTCTGTATCTTTGGGCACAAAAATTCCGCATTTATTTGCTCAGAGTAAACATTAGTCACCACTCTACAGCCGCTCTCACACTCACCGCAATGCATCTTCTTCTCGCTAGACCTTTTTCGGGTCCCTCTATCTGGTACAATTATATTGATCCGCAATTTATTTAGCACAACTAATACACTTGACATTATCTTCTTCAAACGAATATAATTAAGCCCATATTTTTTTGTAAAAATAAATATTGTTTGACTAAATGTTTATTTGAACGAAACCACTATGGCATACTGTTTAGATAGCAGTATTTTATTAAATATAATTAATAATCTTTGGCAAAATTTTATTCTGCACAATTTCTTTAAGCATCATAGCTGTTTGTGGTCAGTGGGTTAGGTTAGGTTAGTGTGTTGACCTAAACTTAGCGAAGCAAGTGTGCTTTGTGTTTTTGAATTTAGATAAGAATACTTATACTTTGAATGACATATGAAGTGCCGTTTTTAGCTGTGAAATCACAATGACTGGGAGTGAACTTTACTACGTTATTTTATCTTGTAATTCTCTCCTATAACTTCATCATCATCAACAGTCTATGAACGTCCACTGCTGGACATAGGCCTGTTGAAGGGATTTCCATATGGAATGAGTCTGCGCTCTCCGCATCCAGTGAGTACCGACACAGCGGTAAACAGTTTCGGGGAGATCACATCCCCCTGTTGCACTCCACGCTGCAGTTGGGTAGGTCTTGTAGTCTGGTCTTGTATGCGGACGGTCATGGTGACATTTTAGTAGCAACTCTTCAGCACTTGGATGTAGTGATAGTCGATACGGCATCTCTGTAAGGACCTCAACACAGCCCATGTTTCCACCGAATCAAAAGCTTTCTCATAATCCACAAACGTTAAGCATGGTAGCAGGTTATATTCTTCGGTCTTTGTATAAACTGGCGCAGCGTGTGGATGTGGTTTATGGTGCTAAAGCCTTTCCGGAATCCGGCTTGTTCGGGAGGCTGCAAGAAGTCTAACCTATCAGCGATACGATTCGTAATCACTCTCGAAAACAACTTGTAGACGTGGCTCAGCAGCAAGATGGGTCTGTAATTCTTCAAAAGAGTGTTGTCACTTTTTTTGAAGAATAGTACCACCATGCTTCTATGCCATGCCATGAACAATTACTGAAACATTTTTCGTACTGGTTTTCCGACCGCTTGCAGGAGTTCTGCTGTGATTCCGTCATCCCACACGGCATGGCACAAGGTGCCATGTTGTTGTTTGAGTGCGTTACTTATCTCATATAGGCTTACGTCCGGGTATAGCGGCGGGTTAATTTGGCTCTGGGGTCTTAAACCAAAATCATCAACAGGTTTTTGTGTTGAGGTGTATGTACATCTGTCCATAAAAAATTCCGACCTCCCTCAAAATCTCATGCTTCGAGGAGATAAGACTACCGGTTTTGATCTTCAGCCTCGTCAGCTGCTGTCCGATAGATAGATCTCTCGCAAACACTTTCGTGCCTTTGTTATTTATTGTGGTATATTTAATCCTTTCGGTTTAAAAGAACCTAAGGTCAAGTATCTGTGACTTGGAGATCTGCCTATTAATTTGCCGGTAGGCTGCCGCATCCGCTAAAGACTATAACCTCGTATTTTGCCTCTCTTTCATGAGATCGACTACGCTCTCTCAGAGAACCTTTTGTGTCCTTTAGTTCTGTGGGTCTTACAGAATTTACACCCCACTTCAAGGACAATTTCCATTAACCTGCGATAGATACGCAATCTTCTAAACAAGCGAAACGATTCTGTACTTCGATTTGAAAACTTTCAGGGTTTTGGATATGTGCGTGAGTGGGTCGGAGCAATGACCTCACCAATTTACGACCTTTCTAGCTTAACATTGATATTCAATGTACCTCTTGCCATCTGGTGATCACTACCGGTTTTCATCCTGTTGATCACTGAGACATCATTGAATATGTACCGTTTCGCCGACATGATGAAGTCAATCTCATTTCTCGTTGAACCATCAGGGTTTAGCCACGTCCACTTTCTATTGGGCGTCTTCCAGAAATAGGAGTTCATCATAAAGAGGCCCTCCTTCTCCATGAAGTCAGCCAGCATTTGGCCCCATTGGTTTAGATGTCCATATCCGAATTTACCCACCTTCAACTCGAAACCGTGTCGCTCGCCCAGTTTTGCGTTAAAATCCCCCATCACAACACTGTAGTAAGAGGCCGAGGTATGCATGGCTTTAGTTATATCCTCATACATAGCCTCTAACACCTCGTCAGGATGTGCCGAGGTCGGCGCGTAAACCTGTATGACCTTCAACGAATACTGTTCGGTAATTCTGAATATCAGGTACGCTAACCTGCTCGACATGCTCCCGACTTGGACAATGATGTTGTCGACCGCTGCCGAAGTCAAAGGCAGCGGGGCCGCCGGGGACATGGGGGCCGTCGTTTCTTGTATGTCTTTCCCATTGAAGGTTTTTGTCCAATAAATTGCCACGCTACCCAGCGTGTGCGTTGCCACGCTGCCCAGCGAGTTGGCCATTCTTTCGCAGAACCAGTCTGATCGCACCGGTGCCGCTGCTACCCAATATCGATCTGTCGTTTTAGTCAGTCGTTTAGAGGCTGACAGTTGGGGCGATAAGATAGTACATTTCGCCCCCTTACCCCCACTTACTCCTATAACTTAAATAAGCTTAATTGCTCGATATTTTTTACAGTCGCGTATATCGCCTTTGCCTTTACATAATGGAATTATATGCCTTACCGCCAAGCATCTGAAATATTCTGATGGGATGGGATTGGAGTTGATTGATTTCTAATATACTTATCATTTATCAATAAATTATAATTTCTATTTATGATATATTTGGCCAAAGTGACCCACCGCAATAGATGTTCCACATAAATGAAAAATCTATTTTCTAATAACTTTTCCCTCATTCCAATGCATATCCACATTTCCCATCCTCGTGTTGATTAAACTAAAATCGTACTAATTAATGATCATCGTTTAGGTTTTTCAGATGTGAGTCGATATAAATGTCGCTGAAGTTGATTACAACAGTAGTTTGCCGAGTAACCACGTCGTAGTTCAGAAACGATGTGGTTTTTTAACATTTTATTTGTGGCTACAATACTGCTAGTTAGTGGAAAAAGCGGTAAGATGCTTTATTTTCGCATAAGTCGCATAAGTACGTAGTAATGGATGAATCTCCATTTTTCACTTTGGTAAAACAAAATTTATTATTTTGCATTTAGTCAGATTAGGCACTTTAAATTTTTAACGATTGCATAGTTTAATACCTAATTAATTAAAACTTTCGTAATTTAATAAACACTCTGTTTATAATTGGTAAGATACTCATATAACATGGTAAAAAACGATGATAGAATCGAATTTTAAATTTATACTTAACTTACTAACAAACGCTCGTGACTTCGTCTGCTTAGAATAGTTTGGTTTCCCATACTATTACCCACACACCCACATAATTTCTACCTTCCATTTCTTTTCTGGGATAAAAATTATCGTTTGTCCTTAAATTATCTATATTCTAAATTTCGTCTAATTCGATTCGTCGGCGCGAAGAGGTATCATCACACACTTTCGCATTTATATTGTTAGTAAGTTATATGGTTAATGCCTATAATGATGAATCTACAAATAAAAATTAATTGTAGCACTGCTCTTCATAAGCGAAAACGTATTAGTAATATATTTATTGGTAAATAACAATTATTTATTGCGTTTTTCATATAGAAGAATAATTATTATCCTTAAGATACAAACAAAACTATTAAAAACCAAGTTTCATAATAAAATTTAATAAATTATGTGTACATATTAAGACACTTAGGGATTCAAATGTATGACAAGTTCTCCTTTTTACCGCATAATTAATGATTAAACGAACTTACCTGTATGTGAAGTTCTATCATAATTATAGGAGGAATTAGCCCGAAGATGTTAGTATTATTTACACTTGTAGTACCTCATCCAAACATTACTACTTAGGACAATAGTTAAGATATCCTTTGATTTTTTTAAAATAATGTGACATTCCCGCCCCCGTTGTGGCCTACCGCCCCATGCCGCATTACCATTACCATTCATTTAGTTCAGAGACATTATTATCTATTATAATATTTTCGACATGGGTGTTATCGTTTTGTGTTACAATTATGACAGGGTAGGTAGGACTCTACTAACAACTTCGGACTTACTCCTATAATTATGAAAGAACTGCACATACAGGTAAGTTCGTTTCATCGTTAATTATACTTCGGCCGACTATATGACACATTAATTATATGACGACCTCCGTGGCCGAGTGGTTTGTACGCCGGGTTTCATGGTGTTGCCGACTCGAGAGGTCCCAGGCTCAAATCCCGGTAGGGGCAGATATTTGTGTGATAAATACAAGCATTTGTACTCCAGTCATGGATGTTTAATATGTATTTCTACAAATATATACTTATATATGTACAGTATATGTATTCTATCCGTTACCCTAGTATCCCATAACACAAGCCTTACAGTGCTTACTTTGAGGCTAGGCTAATTGGTGTGAGTGTTAGAAATATTTATTTATTTATTATACTTCGATATTAGTCCTCGATGTTAGTATTATTTACACTTGTAGATGTTTAGAAAAAGGAAAATATCATAATTATCATGAACAGTTGAGGATAAGACAATAAATATTATGATATAGTAATATATCACTTGCAATGGTATACAATAATATCGAATGAAGCACTACTAACACTCACTACTATATGTGTAAATAAACTTGTGTCTGAATTTAAAAGAGAATTGTATAACGTTCTTAAGTAGTAAGTAATATTGATTAAGTACTTTAGTATTATTAATTAGGTAGATTTTGATACTGGGTGATAGTCGGCCAGGCTTCGAATCTTATAAACAGATATAGACAAGTCGAATGAATAAAAAAAATCGGAGTTTGGTCAAATGTGGCCAAAGCTAGCTCATAATTACTGGATGATAGACTCTGTATATTTTAGTTGCTTCCTATTGCGCATGCCGTGGCAACCTATATCAACACTAATCCAAGCTTTAAATTGCTTCCGTAGCTACTAACACTGACATTGTGTTATGCTTGTTAATTGTCCTTAATAAAATAAAAAAAACTTACATCGAAGGCAAATACTGAAGTATAATGATGTTCTCACCGTTAGAAAAAGAAAGTTGATATTTGTTTTTAAACAGTTGCGTCACGACTAAACTAAAAATTATAAAGTTAGTTTATTTCGTACTTTGTCAATCAGTGATAGACTATTGAACCTCTGCTTGGTATGGAGCAGCCTCCACCCATTTGATTAAGCTTGAGCGTGTTCAGCGAACTATATCAAAGGTTTCAACTTTCAAACCTTCTCGCTTTCCGACTGAGGACCTTTACAAATTGTGTGAGGTTCTCATAGTCAGGCAGCTGTTTGTACTTGGCATAATTTTGCTACAACATTCAAATATCCCTGCAAGTGACGTCGATAACAATAGTAAAATATCCTCCCTGCGGAGTAGAACTGAAACACAGTGCTTCCTCTTGTAAAACTGCCTTCGGCTGTAGATTCCATTATTTTCTATGTAGAGGCAGTCCTCGTACTTACGGCATTTTAGGTTCTCGAACTACGCGACGTAAATCGAAACGACGTAAGTCGAGACATCCCCACGGACTCCGGCCCCATGGACATTGACCTCGCGACAAGTGAATTCTCCTATTCCGGAAATCGAAACAATTGACGTATGCTTGAGGAATAGTGTCAAAACATTGTTTGACGTAACTTGAAACGACGTAAGTCGAGGACTACCTGTAGTTTTTTGTATCACAAACTGAATAATATATACTATCAGTAGACAAGAAAAGTTGTCATACAGTGAAGAAGAAGAAGACTACAAAGTAGCTTTTTGATATAATCTTAACCGACTCAAAAATCATTTTTTTCTTTAAATAATAACTGTCTTGATTATTAATAAAAAACGTAACACATATTATTTACTTATAACCAAAGTACATTAAAAATTGGTGTCGGTGTCATGCCAACCCATGCTATAAATGGAAACTCAAATCTATCAAAAGATAGACCGAGCCCGATATAGTTTGTCTATTCTGGGGTCACACTAACGGGATATGCCATTAATTAACGCAGCAATGGACAATTAACGCACGTCTGAGGTTGTGGGCCTACACTTCGGAGCCTCGAAGTATTTCTCGAGCACTAGCGCATTCCTCAGAGCTGCACTCAGATCGCGCGCGCCTTAACGTTCATCATCGCGATAATTAATTGCATTTCCCGTTAGTATAGCCCCAGCAAAATAATTAATTTTTCTTCCAACAGTCAAAGATGACGATCTGAAGCCTGATCTCGATTGGCCCGCAAGCTATACTTTCGACGCGTTGCGAATATATCTGACGGCAGGCTTCTCGGAAGACTATCAAGTGTGGTAGGTACTATGTTTTTGGAAACTTATATTTTCTAAACGTATTTGAAAAAAATCTTGAGGTAGATACTTACTGAAACTAATTAAATAAATATAAAATTATCAAAATTGTTATTTTTAGGCGAACGGAGCGCAAATCCCGAATTGATTACAACAGCGGTGCAGTGAAATCTATTGTTGACAGAGCAAAGACTGTTGGCGGAGTAGCATACAAAGTACGTTGTATGGTTTTATTTGGCTGAACTTCTAATAAGCTTATCATAAGTAATATTTATTTTACACCCATAATCCTAGCCCCAAAATAAGCACTGTAAGGCTTGTGTTATAGAATGTATGTACTGATACAGATATATTTATCTAGAATATAAATTAATAACCATCCATCACTTAGGTACAAATGCTCGTATTTATCATGTGTACTAACATTTGCCTCAGCGGGATTCAAACCCGCTCTGAGTAGGCGACATCTTGAAAATCTACAACTCGACCCTGGAGGTTGCCATTTACACGAGTCTGAGTTTGAGGAAGTTTTGTAAGATTAAATAATTTACCTTGGTAAAGCCGTATTCAGAGAAAAAGCTGACAGCCTACCAGTTCGCGCTGGTAACCGGCGCGGCAGCCTCATCAGTCTCGCCGACGCTTATCGGTGTTGGTAGGCTGCCACTTTTTTTCTGTATACAGCCATTGGGCTAATAGAAGATAATGGAAAAGGTGAAGAAAATTTTGATATCACAGAGCTTCGGCAGTTGGGCCGAATTAGTTTCTGCATATGCAGCAGTTATCATTCACCAATTCGTTTTAGAACGATAACCATACGAAGTTCGGTCCATATTCTTGCACATTTGATTAATACAAGCTAACATGCAAGATATACATATGTATTTTATTAATTAAAACATTTTGTACGTGCATTTCGTTCTTCTCCAGATCCATCCCGAGGCCGATGAAGATGGTGATTCGAAATATGTATGCGAACAAGTAAGAGGAAGAATGTTTCATAGAATATCCCTTGAAGACGTCCTGCCAAGTACAACTGATTTCGAAGAAGTGGGTCGGTATTGAACATTTAATAGTAAATCGATATCGAGATTTAGCAAAGATATCATAATGTAGTGTGTGAGTGTGTACAATTGTTCAGTTGTATGTATTGTATTGTATGTAATATATTTATTCATAAAAAGTTACACTTTCATTTAAATCATGCCCCGCAAAACTGCTTACGCAGTTTGACTGCAGGTAACTCGCTTTATATAAACATAGCTTATAAATTATTAAATTAGGTGATATTAATACAATTAATTTACGTAATAAGTTACAACGTATTTAACAAGTGTTTTTTTAATAAACTTTTAAATTTAGTAAGTTTAGGCTCACGTCTTATGTCCTCGGGTAAACTATTGAGTAAGTATGGAACTCGTTTTTTTAACGTTCTATCTCCATAGTAATTTTGTACCATAGGTATTTCAAATTTACCTTTGGACATTGACCTTGTGCCAGTTTTATGTTGCACCAAATTAGTGAAACGATCCTGTTTACTATGATTGTTTACAAGTAGAAGGTATTTATGTTTCAGGCTAGCCGGTAAAATTTTACATATTTTATATAGTTTAGAGTAATCTCCTTTACATTGATTCTTTGTCTTTTTATTTACGAGTAATTTTAAAAATCTTGTTTGCAATGATTCTATTTTATTTATGTATGTTTTAAATGTTAATCCATAGCAATCAAGAGCGTAACCAATTATGGAATCCACTAGTGCAAAATATAAACATTTTAGTATTGGCAATGGAACTTTAAAACTTAAATGATGAAACTTTTCCAGTAATACTCTTAATTTTTTACATACGTATTCTATGTGAGAATCCCAGGAAAAGGAGGTATCTATTTTTACTCCTAGGTAATTTACACAATTAACTTTTTCGATAGGATTACACTTGCAGTTAATTTTATTATTATGGAAGCAATCAAAGTCGTGTGCAATCAGAGGAGGCGGATTATCAATAGAACGTAAATACGGGGAGTGAATAATTAGCATTTTTGTTTTGTCTGCGTTTAATATGATACCGTTATCATGTGACCATTTAACTACCGCATCCACATCCTCTTGTACCCGGCGACACATTTCCGCGAGGTCTGTACCAGCGCTCAGAGTACAAAGGTCATCGGCAAACATGTGGGCGGAGCAGTGACGTAATACTCCACAGAGGCTATTTACGTGCATCAGGTAGCACACAGGCCCACACCCGGAACCCTGGGGGACGCCGCAGTTTACTTGTTTCTCCTCGCTGAACGTGTCGCCGACTTTCACACGGTAAGAGCGCGCCCTGAGATAGTCGCTGAACCAAGAGTTCAGCGGCTGCCCCAGGCCGCACTCCTCCATTCCATTTAAGAGGGTCTCAGTCTGTAGGGTATCAAAAGCCTTTCTAAAGTCATAAAAAACAGCTAGTATAATTTTTTTATTTTCCAAATGTGCATTAATTTCGTCTGTAAAGTTTGATAATAAGGTGTTGGTGCTTTTATTTTTCTGGAAGCCATGTTGACTTTCTGTTAAGATATTATTTTGCTGTAAAAAAGTTCCTATTTGATTGACAACACATTTTTCCATAATTTTATCAATACTTGATAGTATAGCTATCGGTCTATAATTCGAAAAGACTTTACGATCTCCTCTCTTATAGATTGGACGAATGATTGCTTCCTTTAATTTTTGTGGAAATTTATGATATTCTACAGACAGATTTATCAGCTTAGATAAAACAGGGCTAATCTTATCAATAATTATTTTTAAATCAGACATGCGTATAAGATCACTGCCCGGTGACTTATTTTTATTCATTTTATCAATTATTAGTTTTATGTCCTTGCTATCAACCGGTTGCCATCTCATACACACATTAGATAGTTTAACATAAGTCTTCCTTTCCAGCCATTTTTCATGACAGGAGTGCTTTATTTGATCAATTTCATTTGAGAATGTATCAGCAAATTCATTACAGACTGCCTGCGTGCCGCCTTGTCTAGTTATGTTACTTAAGATTAGATTATCTAGAGACTGCTTATTTTTACCCAATAACTCATTAATTTTATCCCAAACTTTTTTAATATTATTATTACAATCTAAGATTGTTTTTTTATCATGTTCTACGTTACATTTAAAAATTGACTTTTGACATTTGTTTCTGTACCTAGTATAAGTTAATCTTTTTACCATATTCTTTGGATCGCTACACCAAATTTTGAATAATCTATCTTTTTCAAGAACCATATTTTTTAAGCTTTTGTTTATCCAATACTTTTCATTCCTAAAGTCCCTGTTTCCAGTCATATTTTTTACTTTAAAGCATTGGTTGTATATGTCTCTAAATAAAGTTGATAGCTCTTCGTATAATTTAACTGGGCAATCAATATTTAAGAGATGATCGAAGTTGGTTTCTAATAATTTCTCTCTGACCAATCTATTATCAAGCACACGGCGGCGGCGCTGGGCCGCGTTAATGGCGGGCGCAGCGTGTAATTCACACATCTTGTCCGAGTGAGCTACCTTCGGGGTCTGTTTCCATTGTACAGATGCCGCGACCAAATAATGATCAGATATTTTATATTTTATTACTGCAGAATCGATTAGTGCTGAGGATGATTTAATAAATATATGATCTAAACATGATTCGACTACATTACCCATTAAAATCTCCCTTCTCGTCACGTCTTTAATACATTTTGTAAAACCATGTTCGGCTAATAAATCTTCATAACCTTTTACATATTTTTCTGTATCTTTTAATAAATTTATGTTTATATCCCCGCAAATAATTACTTTGTTAATAGTAGATAATGACTGTAAAAGTTTTTCAAAGTAGGTTAAAAAAACTTGGATTTTATTCTGATTATTATATCTTGGTGGACGATATATTGAAATAATGTGTAATTGCTCACCTTGCCAGTCGCAAACAATGGAAACAGACTCAGCCGCGCACTCGCCGTTCACAAGGACAGGTTTCTGATTAAGCCGCGCGCACAACCCCGCGCGAGAGTAAACCAACACTCCTCCACCTCTTCGCCCACAACGAGTGTGTACATTAACATCGAATCCAGGAATGCTATAAAATGTTAACAATGAATAATTGATGTTAGGTTCTGTTATTACTAATATATCTATATAATCTAAATGATTATTAAGTGCTACTAAAAGTTCTGAAAAATGCTTTTTTATAGAACGAATATTTACGTGAATAATACAGAGTTCTTTTTTGTAGATACTTTGACTTATCCAATTATCTATGCTATCAGTACATACATAATTAATAGATTCATCATCACTTATTAAGTCCAATTGAAATGATTCGTTGAATTTTATAAGATCAGTTAAACACAAACATACCAGTTATTAAGTAGTTATTAAAAAATACTTCAGTTTTTGTTAAGTAAGGCCACAATTTCACTTTCATTACGAATGCATATTGATTTTTCACCTTCACTTTTTTTAACTAGAATTTTGCCACTAGATACCCATATGTACTTGTATACGCCATGAAGCTGCTTCTTCGTGTTCCACAGCAGGGTTCTAGTTACCTTAGTAAGTGCTTCGTTGATGTATATTTTGTTGGTGGCCGACCCACCTGTGATTTTATCACTCGTCACCTCCATCAATTTACGGCGTTGCACCAACCAGGTGTCACGGGAGTCAGCTCCTGAGGCCTTAAATTTCACCACTATAGGTGCCGGTTTTGCGCTAGTTTTCAGAGGGCGGGTCGTGGTTCGCCTGGCCCACTCGATTTCTGAAGTACTTACATTAATTGTGTCCGCAACCTTAGTAATAAGCTGTTCGAGATTTTCACCTGTTAATTTTTCGATGCCCACTATTTCTATGCAATTATTTAGAGAAGCCTGCTCGAATTCGTGGATCTTCTGTTCAAGCGCAACGTTGCACTTCTCTAAATACACACACTTATTGTTTATATTTACAACCGTCTTCTCCAATCTACTGATCTTTTCCCGTGATTGCTGGTTTTCTGCAATTATTGAATCGTACTTATCTGATAACAAACTCAGGCTTTGCGTTATTTCATCAAGGTGTGTTTTAACTTGCGGTATTGCACCAACCTTTTTCTGGATGTCCTTCAGTATTTTTTCTTCAATTAAAGAGACCAACTCAGTCTTTAGTTTGGACAAAAGCGATGATTCCATGTTTCTAAAGTATTCATCTAAGTTCCCCGCCGCCGACGGTAAGGGTGCGTGGGGTGGAGGACTGTTGAACATTGACTTAACAGGAGTATTATCGTCGTTTTTTGGAGGTAATTTACAGGCTGGACACTTCCAGTTTGACTTAGCTTTAGCCGCAAGTTTACCGAAAGAGGTCTTTGTGTATCCAACACAGCCGTAATGGAAGTTATTTTTACATTCAAAACAACAAATTTTATCAGTGACACTGATGAGCTGTTGACAACCAAAACACGAACTCATTGTGTGGGTATGCACTTGAGGCGGAATAAAATTATAAACGAAGATGCAACGCTAGTCACTCGAGTTTGCGATTAAAAGGGCCTAAGCGCCGTGCAGCAACCGTCACTTACGCGTTTTACCGCGACGTCTTTCACTGTTCACCACTGACGATGCTAAATCAAACTTATAAAATATTATTCACAAATTCTACTTAAACTGACTAATATTTTTTAAATACAATTAAACGATAATATTGGCTGTCACTTGAATTTTCTTCTTAAACAAAAATTGAGAAGAAAGTGTAACTTTTAACAAGTAAAACTTTAAAATATATTGGTGTAAAATAACTACGTGTCGTTCGATAGTAATCGTGCGAGCGAGTCGTTACTGTTATTCAGCAGAATCATATAAAAGAGAATTCTAATTAAAAATAATAGTTCGACAATAATTACTATAGAGACCGACCGCAACTGTAATTCTAAGTAGCCTTTTAGAATAATCAAATAAATACGTGGTTGTTGAAAATTGCAGTAACTATTTACTGGGTTTATCAACAACTTCGTATTTTCAGACTGAGAATTTACGTTAATTACTATTATAGAAGAATCAAAGTTAGGACTACCTATATAATTTTTTGAAACCCCTTTTCAGGCACCGAGATTATTTCTGATACAGAAACAACAAAATTCTTGTTAGAAGAGTTAGAAGAGAATATACAATCGAAGAAAACCCTATGGGCTTCATATAACCAAGGCAAGAAAATCTGGCTACCAAAGAAGTATGTGTAAAAGTATTTCAATGCCCAAAGATTTTGATTAATTTGATGAATGTCTTCCTCTTAAAGTTAAAAATATATAAAGAAAATAAAACTAGAAAAAAATCCACGCGGACCAGGCAGCAGGCAGGACTCAAACCTGCGCTATCCGGGCGAATGCACTGACCAATTTTATTATGCTACCGCAGCCCTAACGCACCGCGTCGAAATTGTTCTAGCCCTTCTTAAGCTGCAAGACAGCTCCATCTCTTCGCATTATAGGTAATCCACAATGTCAATTAAGTCAATGTCAATTCGCTGCGGTAGGATAATTGGTCAGTGCATTCGCCCGGATAGCGAAGGGTGCGGGTTCGAGTCCCGTCTGCTGCCTGGTCCGCGTGGAATTTTTTCTAGTTATATTTTCTTTAGATTTAAACATCAAGCAGTTACATGCTTTAAATATATATATATATATACATATATATATATTAAATATTTATACAAAGTACATTTAATTATATATAAATGTATATGTTCTGTTGACAATACAAAAAGACGTATGTAATAACACTCTTATTTCAATATTACATTACTTGAGAATGACATTCATTCTCAAGTTCAATAAAGTTAGGAGAGAAATGTTGTCTGAAGTTACATTAGCTGCTGAAACACATTATTCTTTGCATAGAAGGAAAGAAATCTATATATCATTCATGGGATGTCTGATGTGTACAGACGAATAATAAATACTTTAAGTTTGTATAATAGGCATCTTTAACTTGTAGATATGAAATAGAACAATACAACACTTGGATTGGTTCTAAGGATAAACATGAAATTTGGGAATTCACCAATGTCAAGACTGAAGTCGCAGATAGTATCTTTGACGTGGATAAGTGTAAGCAATACCAATACATAATAATATTTAAATTAAATTAAGTCTATCATAGCATAGAAGAACATGAAATAATTGTGTTTTGGTTAAGTGTTTTCTGTTTTTTCCGATCATAGTTATGGATTGCATATCCCCATCTCCTAGCTCGTAGAACCTGGAAACCATTATCGCAGATCAAAATATACCTCCTGAAGTTATTCCTTTGTTTTAATTTGGTTAACGCACCACTCTAATTACGAAAATCTTACAGATCACAAATGTTTGCAGTCTGTATAAGATCTAATCAAAAGTAAAATTTCGTAAAACAATGATCAAAAATACATTTGTGGCTACTTTATTTAAACATTAATATATTCATTAATATAATTTAAACACAAATACTATTTTATCATTAAAACTCATTTCATATTATTGATTATAACTAATCTACGTACTTTGATTACACGGTTAATGAAAATTACTTTTCTTGTAGATTGCGATGAAATAAGGGAAATTTCTCTGAAAGACGATGCTGTCACAAAAGATTTGTTATTCGTGAACCCAGAGGACGATAAGCACGTTGACTACGTATTCAAAAGGTATGCAGCTATAGTAAAATATACTGTCTTTAATAATAATAGTATAACCTTATCTTCCAAAAAGTAAAACCTTATCTTCCACTTCACAGGTTCAAGAAAACCCACAATAAGAAATATGACGTCGATGGTGAACATGAAATGCGAAGGACCATCTTTAAAAACAACATGAGGTATGGGATATCCTAAGCATACGTACTGAATCCATAAAAGCATCTGAAACCCGGTAGAGTATTAATACAAAAAAGTTTGTAAGCTAGGCATTCATCAACAGCTTAAGAGGAAAATGTTACACAAAATTTACTTTAACATGGTTAAAAACAGTGTCTGGCTTTTGTATGATACAACCCATGATATCTAAGTTTATAACCGCCATATACAAGTAACATAACCTGCTTATGATATACTTAATCTTTGTGTAGTTAAACCTAATCCAATACATAGTTCATAATAATATGAGCGATACTGAGACTAATTCGGGAATTCCAAAATAAAAAATTCGGTGAAATGTGTTTCCTAAGAACAATTCTCTAATTATATTCTTTTAAGTTTTTTCTGTTTTTCCAATTATATTCTTTCGAAGGTAGCTCGACAATTTTAAATAAAATCATTATTCTGACGATGCAGACCTGAAAAGGCTGCGAAACGTCAATAAATAAATAAAGTTTTCGTGCATTAACCCGTAAAAACTAGTTTAATTTAATGAGTGATGTGCGTGAAAACCTAAGAAACAAATATGTACTCCAAGATACCTAATTTGCGGTCTAACTTTGTACCACATTTTTATCCTCAATATTTTATCTTGGACTTGTGAAATTAAACATCTATCCGGAATTGCGGTACCAAACTCAACATAAACAAATTCGATAACTGAAATAAACACTTGATATCAACACAATTCTCTTTTAACTGTTTCCCCTTAGGCTTGTGAAAATGATAAACGGTCAGAACCTGGGTTACAAGCTCACGATCAACAAATTCTCGGACCGCACTCCCGCCGAGAGGTTTAAGTACACCGGCCTCCTCAGACGCCCGCAAGGCAAGAAGGGGACCATCCGCTTTCCTTACACCTCGGAGAAACTGAAGGAAATTGCTGAAACTCTGCCTGAGGAGTACGACACAAGGCTTTACGGCTTAGTCGGCACTGTCAAAAGTATGTAGTACTTTCACAGATTACAGAACAAAAGGCAGATGGTAGGTACGGAACACGCAATGCGTGGCACCATAGCAAATACGAAGTCGGAAGATAATTAATATTTTTTCGCGTCAATGCACTACAACTCATCTTGTTGTGAATACGTCCCCCGTGAATATTAAGATTTAACAAAACTGTGCCGCCTTGTTCATACGTTGTATAAGCTGTTCCTAAAGACAAAAAAAGTCGTTACTTTTGACTTCGTATTTGCTTTGGTGCCACGCATCGCGTGTTCCGTTGCGCTCCATCTACCTTTTGTTCTGTAATCTGAGATTACTTTATATTTAAAGTTCTTAATGATACAATCTTGCATGTTGATAATAAACGTAATTCTGCTGTCACTGTTAGGGAACATAAATAGAATCATATAGGAAGAAAAGGTCATAACTTACCGGCACTATGAATTGGTGGGAGCTAATAGCTAAATAGGTGCTAACTACTGAGGACATAACCGGAAATGTTATCTTTATATGCGCATAAAAGATCTGGTATCACCCATCCGATCTGACTCGCCTTTTCAAACGTTACATTTAACCTTATATTACTAAAAAAAATAACCCGGATAGTGGAAAATGTATAGTACGAAGAAGATGTACGTTCCGTGTAGTACCGGCCTAGAATAGCACTACCCCCTCTTATCCCGTGGGTGTCGTAAGAGGCGACTAAGGGAAACTTCACTTCACCTAAGGAGATGGGCAGCAGCATCTCCTTATGCCAACCCGCCTGCCAAGCGTGGCGATTATGGCAAAACCCCCCCATATGAAGCGAAACAATACGAAACGGCCCCTAGTCCCCGGCGGCCCCGCTATTCCTGGCTACGGTAGCGGCCACGGTAACGGCGGGGCCCGGGATGCGAAGAATCCCCGAGTAGGACACGGCTACCACAACAACAGAATACTGGCCCTGGCAACCTACAACACGCGCACACTGAGGACCGATGCCAAGATGACAGAGCTGGAAGAAGCTATCAGCAAGTTACACTAGGACGTCATCGGGTTATCTGAAGTCCGAAGAGAGGGAGAGGACACGATAGCTCTGGACTCCGGTAACTTGCTGTACTTCCGGGAGGGCGACCAACAGTCCGTAGGTGGTGTCGGGTTTATCGTCGACAAGTCCCTCGTCAACAACGTGCTGACCATTGGTAGTGTTTCGAGTAGAGTAGCGTACTTGGTACTCAGAATATCATCACGATATTCGATGACTGTCATCCAAGTTTGCGCTCTAACCTCGAAACATACCGATGACGAAGTGGAGGCTATGTATGAGGAGATCTCTCGGGCCATGCATAGCCACAAAACCCACTACACGATTGTGATGAGAGATTTCAATGCAAAGTTGGGGAAACGTTGCGGCGACGAGCTGAGAGTGGGGCAATTTGGAGTTGGGGAACGGAACGACAGGGCCCGGATGCTGGTGGACTTTATGGAGAGGGAGAACCTCTATATGATGAACTCCTTCTTCAGAAAGCCCGTCACCCGCAAATGGACCTGGATAAGTCCCGACGGCAAGGTCAAAAATGAGATTGATTTTATTATGTCGACAAAGAAGCAAATATTCAATGATGTCTCAGTGATCAACGCTGTTAAGACAGGAAGCGATCACCGCATGGTAAGAGGCACATTGAATATCAACGTTAAGCTTGAAAGATCGCGACTGATAAAATCAACGCTCCGACCGGTGCCAGCCCAAATTCAAAACCCCGAGCGCTTTCAGCTCGAGCTCCAGAACCGCTTAGAGTACCTTGAGAACAGCATCGACGTGGACGATCTGAACGACCTGGTGGTGAATACTGTCCGTACGGTAGGGTCTAAATACTTTAAAACCCGCCGTACCAAATTAAAGAAACTCTCCGCATACACACTCGAACTCATGGATAAGAAACATGAAATGAGACTACAGGACTCAGCGGATGCACTTCGTTATAGACAGCTTAATAGGCAGATCTCGAAGTCGTTGACGAGCGACCTTCGCCACTTTAATACCGAGCGTATTAAAAAGGCCATAGAGCGGAATAAAGGCTCCAAAGTGTTCGCTAGAGATCTGTCTATTGGGCAAAGTCAACTGACGAGGCTGAAAACTGAGGACGGTAGTATCATTTCATCGACTCCTGAAATCCTGAGGGAGATTAAGAGTTTCTATAGGCAGTTATATTCCAGCAGAACACCAGGCGAAAGCAGAGCTCGAGATCCTAGAGCCAAACTTACCCGACATTATACCGAGGATATCCCGGACGTCAGCCTGTACGAGATTAGAATTGCCCTCAAACAGCTTAAAAACAACAAGGCAGGAGATGACGGAATCACAACAGAGCTTCTGAGAGCGGGCGGTACGCCGGTACTTAAAGTCCTTCAGAAGCTCTTCAACTCCATCATCAACCAGGGCAAAACGCCGAAGGCACGGAGCAGAAGCAAGGTGATTTTGTTCTTCAAAAAGGGCGATAAGACCCTACTGAAGAACTACAGACCCATCTCGCTTCTGAGCCATATCTACAAGCTGTTTTCGAGGGTCATTACGAATCGTCTCGCTCGCAGGCTCGACGACTTCCAGCCTCCCGAACAAGCCGGTTTCCGAAAAGGCTTTAGTACCATAGACCACAGCCATACGCTGCAGCAGATACAGAAGACCGAAGAGTATAATCGGCCACTTTGCCTAGCGTTTGTGGACTATGAAAAGGCCTTCGATTCGATCGAGACCTGGGCGGTGCTGCAGTCTCTTCAGAGGTGCCAAGTGGACTACAGGTATATCGAAGTGTTAAAGTACCTATACCAAAACGCCACTATGTCGGTCCGAGTACAGAATCAGAGCTCTAATCCTATCCAACTACAGCGAGGGGTGAGACAGGGAGACGTTATATCTCCGAAACTGTTCACAGCTGCGATGGAGGATATTTTTAAGCTTCTGGACTGGAAAGGACTCGGCATGAACATCAACGGCGAGTACCTGACACACCTTCGATTTGCCGATGACGTAGTCCTAATGGCGGAGACCTTGGAAGACCTGAACATCATGCTCGAGCATCTCAGTGACGCATCCCAGCGAGTGGGTCTTAAGATGAACATGGACAAGACTAAAATCATGTCCAATGCCGATGTTGCACCCGCTCCAGTTAATGTTGGGAACGTTACACTTGAAGTTGTTGATCACTACGTTTACCTAGGACACACAATCCAGTTAGGTAAGTCCAACTTCGAGAAAGAGATCTCTCGTCGAATCCAACTCGGATGGGCAGCGTTCGGGAAGCTGCAGAACATCTTCGCGTCCAAAATACCTCAATGCCTTAAGACGAAAGTCTTTAACCAGTGTGTGTTGCCAGTGATGATATATGGCAGTGAGGCGTGGTCGTTTACTATGAGCCTCATAGGACGGCTCAAGGTCGCCCAGCGGGCAATGGAGAGAGCTATGCTTGGTGTTTCCCTGCGTGATCGAGTCAGAAATGACGAGATCCGTAGGAGAACTAAAGTCACCGACATAGCTCGAAGAATAGCCCAGCTGAAGTGGCAGTGGGCGGGACATATAGCGAGGAGAACCGATGGCCGTTGGGGCGGAAAGGTTCTCGAATGGCGACCTCATGCCGGACGACGCTCAGTGGGAAGACCCGCTACAAGGTGGACCGACGATCTGGTGAAGGTCGCGGGAAAACGCTGGATGCGGGCAGCGCAGGACCGATCGTTGTGGAGATCCTTGGGGGAGGCCTATGTCCAGCAGTGGGCGCCATACGGCTGATATGATGATGATGATGAGTGGAAGATGTGGATTTGAATCCCGTTTGAAACCTGGACCGAGTGTTTTTTTTCTAGTTATATTTTCTTTAGACTTGCGACAACTTTGCTAAATCTGGATTCAACTAAAACTAGGTATATCCCATAGAAAAGTGTCAATGTCAATTTGACATTACTATTTGGGCTAGGTATATCCAGTTTTAGTTAAATTGAAATTTAGCGAAATTTCTGTAATGAATATAATAACATTACATCACTTCCAGAAATAAACATCTATATGTATATCACTGTGAGAACTAAATTCGATTCGAAAGATACCATTTTCTTTAGAATGGTTCTGGTTAAGCTAATTAAATCGTAGGTCAATTACCCGTAGAATCCTCAAAATAATCAAACTTTACTTATATATTTTAGATCAAGAGGAATGCGGATCTTGCTGGACATTCGGAACAACAGCAGCGGTTGAAGGAGCGGTGGCTCGTGCCAACACTGGCAAATTCGTAACCCTCAGCAATCAAGCCATTATCGACTGCGCTTGGGCGTAAGTAATCATCATTAAACATCAGTCAATTAATATCCCCACTGCGGCACAGGTCTCCCCTATGGATGGAATAGTGGGATGAGGCGATAATCCACCACACGGGCCCAGTGCGGATTGTTGGGTGCTTGCGACTGCTATTTACGATTACCGAGATGCCAAAGTTTCATTTCTTTTCATCTAAAGTTCACACATGTATGGTGCATACAGTACAGCGGGAGTTAGACCAGTAAGTACCACCAGACCAGTTTTCATTACGATTACGGAGATGCTAAAATTCGTGCTTGAGCCTCTATATTATTACCGTGCTCTGGTTTACCTTTACGGCCTGTGCTACGTTAAATGGGAGCACGGACCGGACGTCGACGTTCATAGAACAGCAAAGATATTCTGTTAGTTACTTGTTGTATATATTATTATTATTATATTATCATTTATTCGGATTTCTGACAAACGTCGAATATCTAAAACTGGCTGCTTCTACAGAAATAGCGACATTTTGCCGTGTAATGGCGTAATGCATATAGAACTAATGTCTAAAATGTCAGTTAGCGAAATCGGAAATGAGATTTTATTTTACAGAATCGCATTACTGCTCTATGAAATAACATGAAACAAACACGCGGAGCGGACGCCTGCTCCGTGCTCCCGCTAACGCATCGCAGGCTCTTAGTCAGCGTTTTGTAATAAAGCGGTTTTAGTTTATTAAGTTCACGTTCATTTTAATAAGTATTATATTTTTAAGGTACGGGGCCGCCGGCTGCAACGGCGGCTCAGACACAGCTGCGTACGGTTGGATCATAGACAATGGCATGCCAACTCAAGCAGAATATGGTGACTATGCTAATCGGGTAAGAAATAAATAGAGTGTGTGTCTACTTTTATTACCTCTATTAATATAAATATCCGGCAAACTTCTTGAGCGATGACCATAGACAAGGTGGCACACGGGCCACCGGCCACAACCACAAAACGCCGCCACATGGTTAACGCCAGTGGCCGCCACACGCTTCGTGGCGAGTCCATTTAAATGTATGAAAATTACAGGAAATATGCCGGTGGCGGCGTTTTGTGGTTGTGGCCGGTGGCCCGTGTGCAGGGACTCATTCAAAGACATACACTGCTCAAGTTTATTTGCTTTTGCTCAAAAAGTTTGCCGCTACCTATAACATAAAAATAATCAGTTTAAGAATGAATGCAATTGAGACACCATTAAACCATTACTTTTAATTTCAGTGAGTCAGGGTCTGAATTGTAGTAAGTCGATTTTTTATGTTGTTATCCTATTGACCTTAATATTCCTATGTTTCCAGGATGGGATCTGCCACATCAGAAATATGACGAAATTATACAACATAAAAGGCTTCGTTGACGTCATACCGAATAGTGTAAATGCCTTGAAAGTAAGTAGTAAAAACAGTTTTTGTTTTACTAGAAAATTCGAACCCCATCGGACCGATAGAGGGGATATTTTCAAGTAAAAAAAAACTTAAGATTTAAGCAGTTTCACAATAACGTTATAAGTATCTACTTCAATAATTGTTAAATCTTAACCTATACAACATGTCCAATTTTTTATCATCTCCTACTGCCCTTCCATCATTTACTAAAAATTTACTTAAGTGTGGTTAAAAATGTCGTTTATTTCAATTATGTACGGAGTTTGTTTATTATTATTTTATACTAGCAAACCAGTGAACCAAATGTTCACCAAAACCTGATTTCTCGAAAACCGGAAGTGCTACGTTACTCAAATCCGGTTTGTAGTCTTATCAGACTATTCTTAACTTATAACTTAAATATTCTCTTTATCTATCTCTTACGGTTTGGCCGCTGAAACAGCACCACAGACAGACGGACGGACTTGTCTAATAGATATATTTTATATAATCTAAGAAAACGAATAGAAATAAAAAAAACTCAATAATGCCATCATTTCAGGTGGCATTAATCAACCATGGGCCTTTATCGGTATCAGTGAATGTGAATAAGCAATTCCAAAGCTATGCTGGGGGAGTGTTCTATGACAGTCAATGGTGAGTTAACTAAGTTTTAATTGTACTTAGGTTCAAATTTGTATAAAATCATAGAAAAACGAATTTAAAAGACGTCACTGCAAAAATTTGATAATTTTGCTTAAATCTAATAAAAATAGTGATTATTTATATATGTTATGTATATGTGTGTATGTATGTATAGATGTTATTAAAGGTATTTCTGAATTAAAATACTGAGGTTTCATGTAAAGTTGTATGCACAGATCTGACTATTTACTCCAAGTCATATAACACCCCAACCTACTCTCTGTATAACGCTCTTAGCGATAAGACCGCCAATTATAATGCTTTTGTTAAGTTTATTGTTTGTTAATGTTATGCAATTATGTATTTGGCGTTATAATAAAGTGTTAATCTATCTATCTAACTACTTAAAAAAAGTTTCAATCTCAACATTTTTAACTTCTAAAAGGCATATGGTCTATAAAATTCTTAATCAAATATTTATACCATATAAATTAAATTAAAAATATTTACAGTGATCCTACTGTGCTGAACCATGAGGTATCTCTCGTTGGGTATGGAGAGCAGGACGGCGACACCTTCTGGATCTTGAAAAACTCCTGGGGCCCAGAGTGGGGCATCGACGGGTACATGCACATCTCGGCGCGCGACAACACCTGTGGTGTTGCCACTGAGCCCAGCTACGCCGTCATATAAACCGAGAAACAACTCCTCGTCTTCTCAATCAAGAGTCTTTACATCGATTGATACATCGGCAGTTGAATCTATTGTACCATCAGTAAGTGGTTACATCGATTGAAAAAACATGTTAAACTGTGTAGCCATAAATACACTTAATTTTAAAATGTTTGATGCCGTGCTACCGAACGTAAGGTCTCTTTGGTTTTTTTGACAACATAAATATCTTGAATGAAAACATTAAATCAGTTTTTTGTGTATATTATTATTTTTAGTTAGATTGTAATTTGTTAAAGTTTGCACGTGGAAATAAATGTTTGCAATAATTTGCAGTATTTTATTTTCAGTAAAATCTACCACTCAACTGATAGGTAATTCCTACATAACCTTTTTAGGATAGTCAGAGTCCATATTACGGAAAGAGATCTATACTAAAAGGGACTAGTAAGATACTTAGTGAAGTTTACCTCATCGTTTTCCTCACATTTTAATACTTGCAAGGACTTATGTCTCGTAAACGATATACTCCAATGAAATGAATTCCTTTCCAGGCTTGGTAGTGAATTTGAAGCACTTAAAACCACAGCTGATATTTATAGGTACCGCAATGAGACGGCTACTTACATTCAAATCGGTCTAGTGTAGCACGTTCAGTGCACAGTTTATGAGTACAGATGTGGACATTAAAGTAAAAGGTGCATTAATATTTAAACTACAGTTGTAATCTGTGTAAGCATCAGCAAATGACTCTGGCATAATTTTAAAACGGAATGACTTGCGCAGTAGGAAATAAGGCAGCTCAAAGTGGGAGCATTCACACTGATTGAGGAATGAGGACATTGTAGCGCAGTATGTTTAACTGCGATCTTGGAAGTTAAACAAGTCTCGCAACGGCTTTTAATATGATGGGTGACCAAAAATTTATTGACTGGCATGCGATGTTGTCTATGCTTAAATCAATCACACGTCAATTTCATTACATGCTTGGACTTTTTAACTCGAATTATTTTGTCAATGGCATCAGATCAGAGACTTTTCTGTTGCGGTTCATGAGAACGAAAACCTGAAACTCAGTAAAATGGAAGGTCACTTTTTGAGTAGGAAACCTTATATCATTTTTTTTATGTTTAAAGAGTGGCAAACAAAGCGTATGATCCGCCTGTTGGTAAACCATAGGCTATAGACACTTGCTATACCAAAAATATAACTGTAATAAAATGGGTGCCCAAACAAAAGACAATTTGTTATGACGGTTGAGATGTTTACTGCTCGGAAGCAAATAAAAAGTCTTTTACCACATTTTTCTGCGTCTATGTGTCGCAGGAAATTTGTATGATTCAGCATATTATAAGCGGCGTCGTCCGTTTAAATAATATGCCGAAGGCAAGTTGGCGACTCGTACAATTGTTAAAATTTCAACATTGATTGTTATTTTAAGGTGACCATCATCCAACACGGATGGACAAATCAGACTTTATTTCAGATATCAATTTTAAATACACGAATAATTGGGCACTCCTAAAGTAATTAAACTAGTTAAGTAAAAAAAAAACAATAATAAATCGATTTTTAATTTGGTAGGTACTGCATTTTATCTCGACCACCATGTGCACAGTCCCTATGAATATCTAACAATATATCAAAATATTTATAATAATCTTAAGTCGGTAGTCATATGGGACTGGGTCCTGATGGAGACATGGAATTAATAAATTATTTTGAGGTGGCATTCGGGACCGAAGCTGTGGTCCCAAATGCCGACGCCATCTAGATTCACCTAACTGACTAAGGAGTGACTAGATGGCGCTGTCATAACAATAACTCGCACCCTCGCATATCCTGACCCAATCTCCTATCCGTAAAGCCTGGGAACCTTATTCACCTTGAACCTTACTGTGATCTTCTGTACTGTGAGGTTACTTCCCCAGACGGGCACTCGCATTCAATCGGAAAATCCGGTATTGCGCTACCTCTTCCTCTTTTTATAAAGTAATATTTTTATCAAACTGGGTTTCATACCTTTCGGAGTTTCTGTCACCTACATTTTTTTTCTGATCTGTGATTATTTCAGTACCATAGCGTGGGATCAGAAGCTAGTGCAAGTAGCGAACTGCACTGACCACTATATCTCAGGGTGAAAGTCTTTAAGGTCTATAAACGATCTGGCCACTTTCCCGTCAGCACAGCATCTGATCGGATAAGGCAGCACAATTAGTCTTCTCCTATACTTGTATAAACTATGTGCACTGTCTAACGTCGAATAACTATGAGCACAGAACAATATCGAGCACTTACCGCCAAATTATCGTAAGCGACACTCGCCAAATTATCGTAAGCGACAATTTTGTCGAAATGCGTTTTTTGTGGAAACTAATATTTTAAACCGTAACGGACCCATCTCTGTTGATATTTCCCTCTATTCTTCCCTCTATTATATTATAACGGTGTTCTTTTGGAGGGAAATATCAACAAAGATGGGTCCGTTACGGTTTAAAATATTAGTTTCCACAAAAAACGCATTTCAACAAAAGTGTCGCTTACGATAATTTGACGAGTGTCGCTTACGATAAATTGGCGGTAAGGACTCTCTACGAGAAACTATGAGAATTGTAAAATTAATGTTCTTCCTTTTTTACTATATGAATTATTTGCTTTGTGTTATAATATATCTTTATTCAGAAAAAGTTCAAAATTTCATAATATTATCAATAATAATAAAAAGTACATAATAAATGATTTTCAGCACAATTTCAAGCTTAGAAAGCTTGAAATAAAATATATAAACAATATATGATCAAAATAATACCTACATTTAATATGATTAATAAATTAAAAACCTTAATAAAACAAAAATGCAAATAATAGAATACTATATATTTAAAGTTAAAATAATTTAATGTATATACACCATGAATTTTGGGTTAGCTGAGAAACTTGAAAACCGTGTAAATTATCGAACATAGTGCGAACAGTTATAAACAGTAAACGTACTACACCCCCATACAAAAATATTGATTATTTCGTTTACAAAATATCATAAAAGGCACTAATTTGTAAATAACACACCTATTATGGAACTTAAAATGGTAAAGGTTTCATAATTGCGGAAATAGTGAGTTAAATAGGAGACATTTTCGGAAAAAAATAATTTCTGAAAATAGAAGTTTGTTTAGCGGAAATAATGTAAATCGTTGTCTGAATTAGCAAGTGAAGTTTCTCGTATATACTAAGAACTCTATTATAACTTATTATATTATATGAAAGAGGAAACTTGAAAATCTATGTGAATCAAAAGAAGGAATGGTGTGTTATTTTAATATAGTGTGCATCATGAAAAGCTGGCGAACAATTTCGTACGCACAACGAAAGAACGATTTGTAAAGTTGGTGCGTAGGATATAGTAAAGAAAATGAATCGGCTACTTTTAGAATAACACTCTGGGCTCGTACAAGAAGGGTTTAACATAGTTTTAAGAGCTCCACCCAATGAATATATACATTGGTTCGATCTGCTATGGATCTGAAACTTTAGTTTTATTTTACTTGTACTTGATTTACAATGTGCTCTCAAAAAGATAACATGACGTTAGTAAAGATACCTAAATATTTTATATTGTATGTGTTTACTGTTAGGATAATCGCATGTATTAAGTAATATAAGGATTTTGGCATTGGTGAGCACTGTGCGCAAAAGTAAGGATTTAGTAAACCCAAGACATTTCTGGCGCATTGAAAAGTGTATTTTGTTTTTTTTTTTAATCTAGTATTAGAAAAAGTTGAGCTACCTCAACTTGGATTTAATACTGTAAATAACTAAATAGTTGCTCTATACTATATAAAAGACAAAATTGAAGAAAAAACTTTCTTGTCAAGATATAAGATAGACGACCTCCGTGTCGCCGACTCGAGAGGTCCAGGGTTCAAATCCCGGTGGGGGCAGACGATTGTGTGATGAATACGAGCATTTGTACTCCAGTCATGGATGTTTAATATGTATTTCTATATGAATATTCTTTTATATGTACAGAATATGTATTCCATCCGTTACCCTAGTATCCCATAACACAAGCCTACAGTGCTCACTTTGGTGCTAGGCTAATTGGTGTCAGTGTTGGATTTAATTATTTATTCTTACACTCTAGTGGTAAATTATAATTGGTAACTTAGATCATGTTATAAATAAGTAATACTAAACTTGAGCGAAGTTATCACCCTACTCTTAACCGATCCCGTGTATTCCGCATTACTCAAATTAAAAAAAAACAGTGAACACACTCCATCAGCTCACAATTATTTATTTTGACCTCACAGAGCGTGTCTAATATAATTGACCAAAATTGAAGTAGAATGACTACACTTCTAAGTTCGGGAGGTGGCCTCGGGCGTACATTTACTAGGCAACATTGGTTGCGCGAGCATCAAGCTTAATTGCTCCCCAAGGCTCGATAACTTGTGAGCGGCTGTGACAGTCGCTACGCCCGCCCGTTTTAATGCATTAAAAGGTGATAATTATGCATGCTTGACTTGCTTACTATCGAATTATGTGTACCAGTGTTGTTCTTGGTTGCGTTTTAAATGTACGTTATTAAGCTATCAAAAATCAACACGTAGATACTGTAAAATTTCTTAAGGAACTATATGTTTATAAAAATAATACTTGAATTAAAGCTTCAGTTCCATATTTTTTTTTTGTAAGTACCGTAAACTTAGTTAGAATTTTTACACTTGCACAGGAAATATTTCGTTAAATTAATATAGCTATAATTTGATAAAGCTTCTTTTGTGATGATATAGTGCTCCTGAAATCTTAAATAACTTCGGCTTAGGTACGCCACTTAATCGATCGTATTATTAACTCATGACTGACTGAAGGACGGATTTTACTTACTTAATACTTAATGTCATCATGCTCTCATAAATACCTACCTAACCATTTTACCTGGAAATACCAAATAGTTATGAGATTTGACCAAAAATATAATTTATGTGTTGAGTTAAATAAATGAAATAATGAATAACATCATATTGTAAAACATATTTAAAATCTACATAAATAGACTCCATATGTGGGGTTGTTATAGTACCACAATTGCGGCCGCTTTGTAATAGTTAGACATACTTAATTTCATCCGCAAATTATTAATAACATTCAATTACTAGGTCGAACACCTATTACTAGGTTTAAAAGAAGTATAATGTTGTACCTTAACGTTTTAACTCGAAAACAATACAATTGGTAATCGGTCACCAACAGCACTTTCCTTAATTACTGTGTCCATTATTGGGCTTTTAGTATTTAAATCCTAAATCCATAATATTGCAA